TTTTCATAGCAATCCTGTTTTCATTAATGTGAAAATTGAAGCACTGAGAGTTACTTGCCCAGGTCACACAGTTGCCTGATGCGGATCCAGAACTAGTGTCTGGCAGCCTGATTTCAGACCTACGTCCATTGCCACCATGTTTTCCAGACCCCCTCATACTAAAACTCACCTATGGTTGACCAGTGATAACACTGCTAATGTTCCTTTACATATTTTACAGGAGTAAGTTTTATGACTTGCTTTGAAATATAACATCTTCCCATGTCATTAAATATTGAATACTACTCCAGGAGCATGTGAGATGGTTACTCATTTTCTATTAATGCTCAGACTGCTTAGTTTTACCAGCTCAATGTAGAAAACTGCATAATTTGATTCATGATTTAAAGGCTGGTTTGGAAAAATAGAAACCTCTGTGACTTTATTGTGTATGTTAATTATAATATTAATTAACTTTAATTATAATATTAATTATCTACTCAAGCTACTACTAGTAGCTTGAGTAGATAATACAACATAGATAATACAGATAGACTACTTATAAGATGTAGAATGTGATGTGCTATATAGTTTTTATGTATTAAATGCTTAACAGCTTTTAATTCTATCTGTAGCAACTGTAGTGACAGAAGTGTGTTTAAGTGCTTAAAACCTTGAAATTGGGAGAAAAAAACAGAATTTGAATCCCAGTTTTGTCATTTACTTGGGAGTATATAAACGTACTATTAAGTCTCAGTATTGTTATCTGTAAGTTAAGTCTAACAATAACATTTACCACATTGGCGTGGTGTGTAAGGATTATGTAATTTGTCCTTTTTTAAACAAATATTTGCTGATCTCTCTTCTGTGCGAAGAACAGTCTAAGCACTCCCATGTATTAGGAAAAATAAAAATTCAACCCAGGACTCATGAAGTTTATATGCTATTAGGGTTAGAGAGCTAATAAACAAATGAATATTTAATATTATATAAATAAAATATATATATAACATATATTATATTAAGTATATTATATATGTTATAATCTATATGTAACATAGATAACAAATTAAATATATTATATATGTTATCTATATATTATATGTTGTATATATCTATCTATATAATTATAGATATATGTTATCTATATTATATATGATATCTATATATATAGATAGATATATGATATCTATCTATATAGATAGATAGATATCATATATAATATATATAGATAACATATATAATATACTTAACTTAGAGAGAGACTACCATATGGCAAATGCAAAGTGTCATTGGTTGGTTGCAAAATAATAATTATTATTATTTTATTGCACATGTAAGATATCTATGTGCTAAAGAAGCAACTGTGATACAAAATAAAGTGAGAAAAAATTAATATTTAGATTTTTCTCTTCAAAGTATTTAAAATAGAGGCATTCTGAAAAGAATGCGGATTCTTGGGATTTATATATTGAATAAATTTCTTTCTTTTCCTTTTATGAAGACAAAGCAGACTCCTAAACAGGGTTTGTCCTTCTGACTTAAGCACTGGCATGCTGAAATTTTGGTCTGCTTGTTCCACTTGAAAACACTGTTGATGACATTGAAAAATCATTAATGAAGCTCCCTTCCCCAGGCCCATCAGCTATTTACATTTCACAAATGAAATCAACAGCCTGAAAAAGTCAGTGCTGCACAGGAAATGGCAGGCTGTTTGCCTCAACAAGAGCATGGCGACTTCTTGGTCCCATATTTTTGCAGTGCCTGTATGTGTAACCCAAAACGAAGGGCTCCAGTGGTAAATGTTTATAGAAATTAGATATTTTATTATACAACAATAGGTAGTGGTAGAAAAAATTAAACAGTAAAAACGGAATGAAAAATAAATACTCACCTTCCATCTCTCTGATCTCCCAGTCCCAATGGCCCCTATTAACAACTGTCCTTTGTTTCCTGAAGCATTTCATTATAACTTTTTATTAAACTTTATATATGGAGAAAGTTTATATATATATCCACACATATGTAAATATATATATAGTAGTTTTCATATGACTTGAAACAAATCCTAGTTAGAAACTGCAGTCTCATATGGCTCAAAACATAAACACTTTATTGTCAGTAGAAATACCCTCTACAAAATGAGGGCACTGAGTTCTTAAAAACCAAGTAGCCTAATAAAAGAGCTGCTCAACTTAGAAAATCTGTTGCCAATTTCTTACATATCAATTCCTGCCTTGAATATTCAAGGGTAAAATCCCAATTCTGTTTAAAAAAAAAAGAAAATTACTTTGAAAGATCATGCAATTTGAGTTTATGAGCATAATTTAAAAATAGCTAAGCTCTTTATGTATATCACTGCTAACTCTCACATCAATTTTATAGCATTATTTTCTCCATTTAAGCAATGACAGAATAAAGACTTGAGGTTTTAAATAACGCCCAAGTTCACAAAACTTAGGAAATGGGCTTGCTTTTAAAGCCAGATTATACAACCTAAAAACATACTCTTCATATGCCAGAAGAACTTGTCCTGAGGTCATCTTTAGCATTACTGTTCACATAACACTAAAAAGCCAGTAGTTCTAGTAAGAGGGTTCACAGCCACACGTTAGATAGTACATGTTCATAAAGGTGCTTATAAAGTTCTGTGTACAGGCTAGAAGTTGGTTCTGGTTGTATTGTACCCATAACTGATAAAAATATTCTCCGCAAGTTTTATTTTTTTTTCCAAATGATCGTTTGACAAATATTAAGGCTGAGAAGATTTCATTTCAAGATTATAGTAACAATGTGATTGACAGGGTGAGAACTGTGTGTTGGGTGGGAAGCAAGGATGTTTAAAATAGATACCTATTCTTGATGAGCAAAATGCTAATGTGTCATAGGAAGAAAAGATTTAAATTTCTGGGGATTTGTTTCTAAGAAATTCAATATTCAAATCGGCCACACTTCAAAAACAAAACCAAGAAGGTGACCAAGATCATACTATCTAGACCTTGGGATATGACCCCACGTGAAGGGGAATAGGCTGGGAAAATGGAATCTTAGTTCTGCCACCTGGCAGCTGGATGAGCTTCTGCAAACTAATTTCTGTAAGCTTCAGTCACTTCATCTACCAAATGAGGATTAAAACAGCATGTACTTCGTAGAATAATGGAATAATGCAAGTTAGCCATTGACCAGCACTTGAGCCATAATAAGTACTCCAGAAAAAATAATTCTCATTACTAGAATTGTGCTAATTTGCTTGAAAGTTTAAACTATACTGTTGATCTAGCATAGACTCAATAAAGACAAAATTATTAGAGAAAAAATGTTGTTTCCTTTCTAATGAAGCCAAAAACTCATCAGAACTCACCACCAAAAAGAATTGTGTTATTGTAGACTAAGTAATTACATAAGAATGAACTTTAGACTAAACTGGTTGGAACAAAACATAGCATCAGGAAACCCAATAATTGAAGGTATCATTCAATTGTTAATTGAAGGTATCATTCAATTATTGGAGGCCATATTTGCTATCATTGGACACATAAATATATCACTTATATATTTTTTAAAAGATTCTAAAACAAAATATAAATGCAACAGCCATATGACAATGAATTTTTATCTCTAGTTCTAGAGGCATAAGATGAATCAATTTCTTTTAGGATTATAGATACACAAGAGGGAGCCTTTGGTCTTTCTATATACTCCATTTATTTCACTCATCCATTCCTTCAACAACATTTATTGATCATATGCCCCATATCAGATATTTCATCCGGTGCTGATATTTGAGTTATAAACAAAGCACAGTTCTTACCTTAATGGAGCTTGAAATCTAAAGAGTGGTTACAGACAATAACAAAAGTTCCTAAAATACTGTGGCTCACAGAAAACGTTAAAATAGGGTACATCTACCAAGTTAAGCGAATGGATCAAAAAGGGAGAAAATATGTGCCAAAGAGTGTCAGAGTGCATGAATAGCGCTGATACTACTTTTTACAGGAAGTAGGATGTAAACGGCTATGACATTCTTTATTATACAAAATTCTGCAGTTAAATTCGTTTTTTACATTATAACTACAGAAAATGAGACACTGCTAGGCTAAAACCCAAATAAAGATAGTAGCATTATCCCTTATACATAATTTATGCTCAGTAGATATTCCAACTATGAGCTCAGTTTTTCTTCTGCTGTTTGAAGGGGGGAAAACTATAATGTACCAGAACTATTCCGTTAATCACAGGAAAATTCTATGCCAAGAGTAGGGAACTATAAAGCCTAGGCAAACTTGGTTAAATAAAAGTATAGACTGGCCACATAAGAATATAGTCAACTATCTTATTTGTTAGGGTGGTGCTGTAAATAGTATTTGAATAGTTTAAAAAAGCTGTGAATTTATTCTATACTGGTATTTTTAGAATGCAGAATTTCTAGACAAAAGACATTGTCCCAGGGCAATAAGAGAACAAGATACTTTATTTCACTGATTGTTTATATATTAAATTTAAGTAAAATTAATTCAGTTTATAAAATTAATAATTATAGAAATACAGAACAATAATTATATAATTTTGAAATTATTAAATTAACCACCAGGTGGAGCCCCATGAATTAAATTTCTGGTAGTCAAAAACAGAAAATTGCTTAAATTGGTCAGATTAGGAAAATTTTTAACATTTTTCTTCTGAACAATTTTTATTAATTTTTTTAATTTATAATATTTAGATAACTCATAAATTATAAACCTGGTTTTTATTAAAGAGCAGAGCCAAATTACTTGATTAGCATGAAACTTTTTGCAAACTGGATTTTAAAATTAAAGTATTTTTGCTTACATTACTTTAGTTAATTTACTAAAGATACATATTCCATTAATAGTTTGATAACAGTATGTAACTATAATTAAAATTGAGAACAGACAAGTAAAATTAGTAAAGCCAACTTATTAATCCACATTGTACTATTTTTCAAATCTTAATATTTTTCCATTTTGTTTGTACTTGTTTATGTGTATGTTTTACCACAGAACCTGAAACTAAAAAAGATGAAAAGATGTCCAAAGCAGGTAAGGGATGTTTTGTAAGATTTACATACAAGGAGATGTTCTGTTAAGTTGGAACAAAGCTAGTTTTACAGTTTTAAAATCACAGCTGGATAAAACCTTTAGACATCCAAAACATTTAAAAAATACTGATGCTACCTGCCATATATTTTATAAGTAATAAGCAATAAAATTAAATGTATGCTAAAGTTATCAAAAATTCCTTGCTTTCTGATAGCAGATTTTGGGTAAGTTTATCAAAGCACTAGAACCATTAGCACATACTGCCCTTTGTTTATTTACTGGGCAATTGAACACTGTGGGCATATGAAATGCTCAGAGGGTAACTTAAATGTCAGAAGCTCTGGACAGAGTGTAACAAATGCCTAAAACTTAGTATTATCATGGAATGAGTTTTATAAACTTACATTTATCTACTTTCAACCATTTTTGATCTCCAGAAAAGGAGTTCCACGTGGTTCAACCTAACAGATTCCACACTTTTCTTTCCCACTATTAAATATGCAAATATTGTATGGAGAAGTAATCTATCGCCCTATTGGTCACTAATTTGAAAATTGAAATACTTTTAAAATAGACATTCTGAAAGCAGGTTTTGCAAGGGAAGAAGTCAAGAGGTTAGCTGGGCACTCAAGGCAAGTGATGAAAGTTGAGTGGTTAAATATTATAAAATAGGGGAAAATGTAGAAAAGAAAGACAATAAATATTAAGGAAAATTTCAATTACAGTCTATCTATGGCTAATCCTAATTCACGTATTTTATATCTATATAAGGAAATTTATGTTTTTATGTCTTATCTATGTAAAAGAAAGTTTTATATATATATATTATGTACATACATATATTTCTCTGTATAGCAGAAGTGATACCACATAAAAGCAGACATTCATGTTGTTAGTCTAAAAATATTTGCATATACTCATTTGTACAAATATTAATCTGTATTTAAGCAATTATTTTCATTAACCCTTTAATGTATATTTTAAATATTAAAGTCACTTCTCTTAAGAGTACTACTATCAGATCAGAATAAATTGTTTAAGTTATTTTCTTATTTTTAGGTGAATGAGCCTGCCCATTTCAAGTAATTTTATATGATTTTAAAACATGCATTCTTTGGAAGATCAATGAAAGGTTGAACAATTTTAAACTGCAGAAAAACAGCATAATAGAGAGAAAATGATATGTTGAGTATTTACATCAAAAGTTACAAGTGAACTTTAGATATACCTGCAGAAAGGAAAAACTGCATACAAAAAAATGCCTTATTATTGTTAGCACATTTACTGGAGTAGTGAAAGCTCACTAATCAGATAAAAGGTGCATTAGTTGCCCTTTTCTACTTACATAACATTGTATTTTATGCTTTATTTTACAGATGAAATAGAAAAAGTGAGATATGCACTAATAATTTTCTATTAGTTTACATTAAGTATTTATGTCTATGTTATTATTACTTAAATTTTATTTTAAGTTCAGGGGTACATGTGCAGGATGTGCAGGTTTGTTATGCAGGCAAAGCTGTGTCATGGTGTAACCGGGTCTTTTTCTTGGGTGCTGGTGAGGCAATGCTCCCCTAAAAGAATGCTGTGGGTTCTTGGCCTCCAATCTCTTAAGGAATAAGCGGTGGGACAGCTGCAGGTGTGCTGTATGCTTGTAAAAGTAAATATTGGACCCAAGAAGTGTTGCAGAAAAGTGATTTTATTGAGTTAGAGAAACAGAAGGAAAGGAGAAGAAGAGAAAGATTTCCAAGAGTGTGGAAGGGGATTCCAGAGGGGAAATCGAGAGGGGAAAGGGAGTTCCCACCATGTGGGAGGGGATTCCAGAAAGCTGGAAATTCGGTGTGGGTGAAGAAGCAGGAAAATTTATCCTGGAAGAAATTCCCACCTTCCCAAGTTCCTCTGGCCAATGAAAGGAGTTCCTTAGAACTTCCACTGGAATGATTGACTTTTAGTTTCTTCATGCGCCTGTGAAATTCAAACATAAACCGTTAAATCTCCCAGATGGAGAGAGATGGGGAGGGGGGCATAGCACTGGGGAATTCTTGCCCTTAAAACTATGACCACTCATAGACCCTGAAAGAGAACACAGTCACTCAATGGGGGTTTGTTGTACCAATTATTTTATCACCCAGGTGTTAAGCCTAGTATCCATTAGTTATTTTTTCTGATCCTTTCCCTCCTCCTACCCTCCATCCTCCAATTGGCCCCAGTGTGTGCTGTTCCACTTTATGTGTTCATAAGTTCCCATCATCTAGCTGCCACTTATAAGTAAGAACATGTGGAATTTGGCTTTCTGTTCTTGCACTAGTTTCCTAAGGATAATGGTCCCCAGCTTCATTCATGTCACTGCAAAGGACATGATCTTGTTCTTTTTCATGGCTGCATAGTATTCAATGGTGTATATGTACCACATTTTATTTATCCATTCTATCATTGATGGCATTTGGATTGATTCTATGTTTTTGCTATTGTTGATAGTGATGCAATGAACATATGTGTGCATGTGTCTTTATAATAAAAGGATTTATATTCCTTTGGTAGAAACCCAGCAATAGGATTGCTGTGTTAAATGGTACACCACATTGGTCACTGATGAATTGCCACACTGTTTTCCACAATGGTTGAACTAATTTACACTTTCACCAACAGTGTGTACGTGTTCCTTTTTCTCTACAACCTCACCAGCAACTGTTATTTTTTTACTTTAATGGTAGCCATTCTGGCCGATGTGAGATGATACTTCACTGTGGTTTTGATTTGCATTTCTCTAATAATCGGTAATATTAAGCCTTTTTCATACACTTGTTGGCTGCATGTATGTCTGCTTTTGAAAAGTGTCTGTTCATTTCCTTTGCCCACTTTTTAATTAGGTTTTTTTTTCTTGTAAATTTGTTTAAGTTCCTTACAGATTAGTCCTGTGTCAGACACATAGTTTGCAAAAATTTTCTTCCATTCTGTAGGTTGTCTGTTTACTCTGTTAGTTTCTTTTGCCATGCAGAAGCTCTTTGGTTTAATCCCATTTGTCAATTTTTGCTTTTGTTGTGATTGCTTTTGGTGTCATCCTTATAAAATCTTTGCCAGTGTCTATGTCCTGAACTGCATTGTCTCGGTCTTTTTCCAGGCTTTTTATATTTTTAAGTTTTACATTTAAGTATTTATCTTGAGTTAATTTTTATATATGTAGGGGTCCAGTTTCAATTTTCTGCATATGGTTAACCAGTTATCCTAGCATCATTTATTGAATAAAGAATCCTGTCAGTTTTGTCAAAGATCAGATAGTTGTAAGTGTGTGGTCTTATTTCTGGGTTCTCTATTCTGTTCTTTTGGTCTATGTGTCTATTTTTGTACCATGTTGTTTTGGTTACTGTAGCCCTAGAGCATAGTTTGAAGTCAGGTAACATGCCTCCAGCTTTGTTCTTTTTGCTTAGGATTGCCTTGGCTATTTAGACTCTTTTTTGGTTCCATACGAATTTTAAAATAGTTTTTCCAATTCTGTGAAGAATGTCAATGGTAGTTTAATGGGAATAAAAATACCTGGGATGGAATTCCCAGGGGGAAAGGCAAGCTGCTATATTTGCTGTTTGGGTGACTCAGCTGTGTCAGCCTGTAGGCTTTGGAGAGCCCAAGCCAACCTGGGCAGAAGTGGTACTCCAGCATGGCACAGCTGCTCTACAAAAGTGTAGCTACACTGCTTCATTAAGCAGGTCCCCGATCCTGTTCCTCCTGATTGGGTGAGACCTCCCAACCGGGGCCTAAAGCCGCCGCCTACAGGTGTGTTGGGACCAGCACCAGGTCGATACCACTCTTGGACACAGCTCGCAGAGGAAGGGACAGTCTGCCATCTTTGCTGTTTTGCAGCCTTCACTGGTGATACCTTAAGGCACTGGAAAATTTGACGTGACTAGGGATTGGAGCAGACACCGAGAAAACACAGAAGCCCTATGGAAGGGAGGCCAGACTGTTTAAAGAAAAACACAAACAAACAAACAAAAATCTCCATTCAAAGGGCAGCAACCTCAAAGATTGAAGTTGGATAAGCCCACAAAGATGAGAAAGAATCAGTGCAAGAATGCTAAAAACTCAAAAAACCAGAGTACCATCCTCCCTTAAAATGACCACATCACCTCTCCAGCAAGGAGCAGGTTCTCACAAAACTTTATGTCATCACAATAGTAGCAAGAAAGGCTACAAAATCACTATAGTAGTACAGTATGTACTACAGTTAATTTTATACAGTTATCATTTAATACTGAATCTTTATATTTGCTTACATTTCTCTTGTCTTTACCTTGTATGATGTGAATGTTTATAGTAGAAGTTTAGATAAATATTATCTTTTTATAAATGATTTGCATATTTGTGTATTTTATGGTAACATGACAAAACAGACTAGTACCAACATATATTTTATGCAGTTATGACATACCTCTTTATTTTTTTGATATTTTTATACAATGCAGTTCATGTGTGTTTTTTCAAATTGTTACACACCTCCCCCAAAATTCCTGATGTATTTATTGAAATAAAAATCTATTTATAAGTGAAAGTGCCCAGTTCAAATCTGTTTTATTCAAGAGTCAACTGTATAAGAGCAGCTGAGACAAGGAGATTACTATAAAGTATGATGGAAATAGTGTTGGCCTTATACTAAAGATCCATGTATTTGAGTCCCTTTGCCCCTTGTTTAGGGGTGTAACTTTACTTAGATTACTTAATGTTTCCGAACATTAATTTGCTTATCTGTTGAGTGAAGCTTATCATACCTATCTCACAGGTTTGATGCATGAAACAGAAGTGATGCTTTCTACTTGGTTCATTTTCAGTATGATAGCTATGATTGAGTGCTAGGCCAGAGACAGGAGTAAGCACAGCACTGGTGAGGAGAGGACTAAGGAAATTCCAGGGGTCACATGGCTAGCAGAAGATGGCAAAGCTGCAGTAGCAGGATACAGCCATGTGAAGGTAGCTCTTTAAATAAAGGAGTGGGGGCTTAGAAGACT